CTGAGGTTCTTCCCAAGGCTTACCACTGTTTTTATTTACTTAATTTATAGAAAACCACAAATGCAATCTGACCAATATTATTAACAACCACTAGGTTTAACTTTCTAAAGGTTTGGCTGCTCTGCTCTGTTCCCTGGCCCCAGGCTGTACCTCAACAATTAAAATATCCTCTAGAAATCATAATAGGCACGGGGAAAACAGTATCTCCTTACAGTAAACACAAAACTAACCTGTAAGGGAGCTATTGGGAATTCTGTGCAGAAGTTTCCACACAATCAGATTTGACCTTTGTGCTTATTATGCTTCAGAGTGGAGGAGCCAATTTCCACTGCTGGTCAGAATTTACTACCCATGGCACAAAGAAAACAACACATTAAGGAAATCGTCATGGAACCTGGAGGAAGCAGACAATGCCAAGTCCACCTTTGCCACAGGAAGTTCAAGTCCGGGAGCCAGAATGCTTGATAGAGCTAACCAACTGCAGGCCCAAGATGTGGCTGGAAATGCACCTAGGTAATGGGTGGAGGACAAAGAAGAACTGTAATTCACTTTTTATCAAAACGCTGCAGAACTCACAGCACTGTGGCTTGCATTGTACAAACAGCATATGTGTACCTTTTTGGCTCTTTGCCTTATCCACAGCAACAAAACTGCACATGAAGGGATTAACCTGTGCACCCATATCCTTTTCTTTTTATCTTCCACCCCGACCCCTGAGAAGAGTACTTCGTGAGGGCAACTTTGTGTGATTGCTACCCTCACTGCCACCTCAGATCGGCCTTTGTTCTTCTCCAGTGACCTCATCAGCATTTCTTTCAGTGAGGACAGTGATTGGATGGTTACCAACCTTAACTGTTCACTACATTCTTCATCCATCACTGAAGGTCACTGCTGTGTGACTCTCCACACGTAGTACATGTGGTTTGAGGCACATCTTGCTCGTGCCCTCTTCCCAGGACTTTGAATCTGTGCTACCGGCCACCAGGCAGGCCCTGACCACAGATGACTGGATAGAGTTGAGAATGTAGTTCAAAGGCCACAGGTGGGCCGAGCTAATCAGACTCTACTTCTCAGGAATTTGAACTGATGACCTAAGATGCAGTTTTCTTCCACGGTAGGAGCTGCCTTCTATACCAGGAGGATGAAGAGTAGGGGACAGAGGTGGGCAGCAACAAAGAGAGTGCAGGAGAGAGAGAACATGTAGAGTGAGGCTGGGAAATCTTGAGCAATGAGACCAGTGGTCACATGGACCGTGAGAGACGACGCATCTGGGAAACTTAATTCTTGGCTCTCTAGGTCATAGCAACTTCCCACCCTGTCACTCTGTGGGATTCTCCCTAACAAATGCACCTGAATGGTTTTCCCTCTCCCCACACCCTACACTGCTTGAATAGAATCTAAGGTATGTTAGAAACTTATTTCTTGCATTTCTGGCACGACTAACTTAAGCTCAGGCAATATTTCACACTAATCATAAAGCAGCAACCTAAGCTTGTAAGCATTTGTTGTGCACACAATGAAGCCCACACAGAATTGGAATTCATGGGCTTGCCCAAAGCTTTCTTACTCTGGACATTTGGCCTGTGCCCTGTGTTCAGTCCGCCGTCCGAGGCCAGCAGAGGCCAAGTACAGCATTTGTCTTTCAGAGGCGTGAAGACTGTCAGGAGGATGACAGTCTTCCTCCTGACACCCCCGGGGGGATGGATGTGTCTGGGTTCATACAGTCTGGGGGAGAAGAGACCACTGCATGCCTCCTGTTGTTTAAGAACTCCCTCCTCCCCTACTTGCTGCCAAAAGGTGTTTTCCCCTGTGTTGGTGATAAGCTTATCTGGGACTTCATTTTTCCTGATTTCAGCTGTGCACCTTGGGTGTTTCCTTGTTTTTGGCTTTGACATCTATTTGAGGTGGACCCAAGTGTTCCTGCTATAGCCCTTCCAATTCAGTTTGCCTGTGCCCTCGCTTCCTGTTTGTCATGCCAGCCTGACCCTACGCTGCAGTCTCCAACCTGGGACCCGCAGGGAGGCTCCGTGGCATCCAGACCAGGGTCAGGCCTCTTCCACAGGCAGTGGAATGCGGCACGTGTGTTCCCTGGACACCTTAAGGTTCTTTCTGTTCTTTCTTAGGAGTCCCTGACCCCAATAAATGTTTTTCAGGAGCCATCTTTGTTTAAGAACCTGCTTCTGGGTGAACTCAATGTCCTTGGTTAATTTTAACCTTGCTAGAGATACAATGTCAGCAAAAGTTGGTTTGACCTCTAATACCTATTGTAGCTACTCCGTAGGTCGCACTGACTTGATGAATATGCCAAGACATCACAAATTTCAGGAAGCTCCTCTCCCAGGACTACACCTAAAAACTTGCTCTCTTCAAGTCCCAGATCAACAAAAATAAATTCCAGGGGAAAATAATCACATTCTTAGATACTTTGTTTAAGTAACAGCTGAACTTGGCTGTCATAAACTTGCCATTCAGAATTCAAATGATATCTGTATGACCACTGTCATTGTCACAGTGACATAAGGTGTATATCCCTTCCCACAGGAGCTTGAAATCCAGTAAAAAGGTAAAATGTGGTGATGAAGAGTTTTGTAACACACAAAGAACTGATATAAAAGTGAGATTCTTGCTGACTTCTGCTAAGAGAATGTAGAAATCCGTGAAGGCCTTCCCACATCAGTAGAGTCCTACTGCAAATGCAAGCTGACCCGAGGACCTCTGCCCAGCAGGACTTTTACACAAGTGTGGGCCTCAAACAAATAGCCAGATGCTTCTCCAGAAAAATGGGTTTATTTGGGAACCACGAGGCATCACAGTTCAGGACGTACTTCTAATGGTGAACATGTGCAAGTCCAGGGAAACGAAGGAGAGGCATGCCCTTTTTTGAACTTGGGAGGGGGGCTCTTGTAATTGAAGGGTCCATTGGAGGAAACTGTACTTGGAACCGTGGTGACTTTTCATCGGCCGAGTTTCGGCTGTCTCCCATTGGCTGAGCTGTTACTGGGTGAAGAGGAATCTGTTCTTGCCCCTGCTGGGTGCTGGAGATGCAAAGTACCTACCTGTCTTCCTGTTGGGGTCAGCGGTCTGTGTTGAGTGACCTATACGTGAGTTCTCTCTTCTTGCCTCCTGACTCCACTTTAAATGAGGTTTCTGTTGATTCATCTTCACACAAGTCAGGAAAAGGTAGCCCCACTGGTACAGGACTTGGTCAGTGACCTGATCCTCGTTGGTAGAAAAAGACACCCCTCCCACGGGGGCAATGACATTCTCTCGCTCAAGGGCCAAGGTTGGAAGGGCAGGTCCCAGCCCCCGCTCACTTCCTCAGTCAAGTGCCCTGAGCCAGGCACACACTGCACAGCTCCTCCCAGCAGCCTTGTCTGGACAAGAAAGGAAGGAGGGAGACACCGAGGGAGGAGGGAAGAAGCTGCCCTCCCACCTCCTGCACCAAACCCCAGACAAATAGCCTCGGAATCTATCGGTTCGTGCCTGAAACTCCTGCTTCAGTGCCGCTGAAGAGTGCTCTACAGACCAGCGTGACGCTGAGAACTCTTTCACCAGTCTTCACAAACACATACGGAAACTGAGGGAGGGTTTAAAAACTGTCACAGCAGTTTGATCTTGGTGCAACACTTTCATTGTATTTTACAAAAGTGCCAGTCTGCAAGGGTTGGGAAATTTTAAAACACTTGTTCACAACCGCAGATAGTTTTAAAAGCACTGCTCTGCCACAACTAATTTTCAGAGAGAAAAAGCCATTTTACATCCTGCTCTAAACAGAGGATCACATGGTGTTTCCTTTTCCTGTACAACACATAGAGGATCTTTCAATTTGCTTGCCCCTAAGAAATACAGTAGGGACGGGTGGAAGCTCAACTACTGACAGAGCTGGTCTCATGAGCACGCTGAAGTGTTCCAGTATCACCTTGTGAAATACAAACTGGGTGGGAAAATTAGTGTCTCTCATTTACCATTAGCTGGTTAATGAACTAAACGTCTACCACATAGACACTGGTGCTGAGTTTTTCTTTTAATCTATCTAGCATGTTTAATTGTAGCTAAAAGTAGCTTCTGATAAGACATAAACGTTTATCTTTCCTATTTACCTATGACATGAATGTTTTATAACAAACATCATTTTCAATGTGCATCATTTCACCTCTGCTCCTTTTTAAGGGAATCCAAAATGTGTCTATTTGGAATCCCAGAAAGTTCCGGAACATTCGAGCAGCCTTTCAGGTTTCCGCCCCAGCTGTTAGTTCGCACCAGCTGCTTCCCTGCACCTGTCCTCGGGGTCCTTTCCCACGAAGCTCCGTCCAACAGACAAGCCGGCCCCCAAGGGAAGTCCATGCGTGGTGGACAAAAGCCGAGATCTGACAGGTACAGGGAGTAGATCCCAGGTTGCTTCCCTGATTTTGTCTTTGGGGGTGGCAGTATGGCAAGAAATGGGACCAGGAGAGTCTCCAACTTCTGTGATTGCCCTTAGAAACTTGTATGATAAGGCAATGGAGGAAAGTTACCCACTGTCCATGAAGCCTCCTGGCATTCGTGATCGGACCCTTGTCCCACCTTTTCTAACGTGTGGGGGAGCAAAACGAGATTGTAAACCGCTCTGCTGATACTTAGTTTTAATTACTCTCAGTTTGGTTCCTTTTAGATATTCTGTCTGAGGTTTTATAAGTTAGGAACAAGTAAATATGCTTTGTTTGCAAATATGCTATTTCAGTGGAAAAATATTTCTGTACTTCAGGAATGCTTCCCTGTTCAAACACATTCCGGGTTTACGTAAACTACCTGTCCAGAAAGCCTTTTATAACCCATCTAGACTAAGCTGAAAATATGTAAAGCAAACCCTTTTTAATTTTAGAAAACTCTCTTGATTAAACTTTCCAAATTATTATTAAAAATAGGTGACACTGGTGGCATTAACATGACTTAAAAAGCAATCTAAGACCCGATGACATTGAATATAAGGACCAAGAGACCAATTATATACAGAGATTGTTTTTATAAACCGAGAGTGTTATTTTACATCCCACACACAGTCCCATTGTCCACGATGGCTGAACCACGCTTGCCACGCCGCTCTCGTCTGCTCGCACACACCCTGTGACCTCCATAGGAAGACGCGCAGCACAGCTCTGGCTGTGCTGCGGTGCACTTTGGTCTGGGGGCTGTGAACGTGTGGGTGAGCGGCTTCTCCGTCGGCCATGAACCATGTGGACATGGAGCATCAGTGTGGTCCGCCAAGTGTTTGTTCTCTTGGCCCACGGGAGTACGGCAGGGTTAGTGCTAAAGTGAACTTGGGGCAGACCCATCTATTTTGAACAAATAAAACAAAGGTGATTGTACTGTTTGGACCCACTTAACTTTGTGTCTGACTATAAAAACATTGTGATAAAAATGGAATTTGAAGAAAACAATAGTACAGAGAAAAGTATACCTGAGTGTGGCCAATACTTAGGTAATGCACCATCATTCAGTTCGTGACAGGAAACCCAATGGACGGTTGAAGTTTTAGATCCATAAAACTATAGATTTTATTTTAATAGCAAACTACAGAAATGATCCCTGAAAGTACAGTCTTTAGATTTTATTTTAAAATTTTACACAGCAACAAGCATTATGCAGTGTGAAACACATTCTTATAAAAAGATTACACAGCTTTAGCAACTTGCCATTTAAAACTAAGATGACTGAATTAGTCCTCCTTTTCTCAAATTTGCACAGGTTTTCACATGTCAGGTTAGATATCAACCTAAAAAGATTCACCTTCTTTCATGTGGAATTCCCAACATTTTCAGAGTACTCAAAATCAAATAGTTTCCTCCCCAAGACCAACCAGCTTAGACAAAAGTAAGCTGGTCTTTCTCTGGTCTCACTGAAATCTGAGGAAATCACCTGATCTACGACAACAACAAATATTTCCGCCCAAAGCTCATCCACAGGGAAGGCCTCGGAAATGTGCCGTGAAGGCCCCCCGAGGGAGCGCTCCTGCCCTGGCCTGGTCTGGCCGAGGGCTCTCCTTGCGCTAGCGAAGGCCCAGGGGTCAAGGCTGTGAAGGTCCACAGCCAGGCAATTCAAGTCTCCTGGCGGCCCTGAGTTAGCATGGTCTCCTGGGAGAAGCTTTCAAATGAGCGCGCCCCTAGGATGAAGCCAGAAGCCACCCGTGGTTATTTCTTTACTTTACAGATGAAGTGAAACCTGATTTGCCTGATCCATTCATTCGGTCACCTAAACCTCCCTCACATTGGACATCCGCACTGGGGATCGTTTAAGTCGGAAAGAAATACTCAGATGAGAAGGGCATGGCATAAAGATGAGGTGAAAAGGAAAAGAAAAAAAATCCAGTTACCAGGCGGGGAAATTCCACTTGCCTCCTAGTAAAGTCAGTCTTGAAGAGGACAAAGTTCTGAGGGTGGGCGGTGGCGATGGTCGCACAACAGCATGAAGGCACCTGACACCACTGGGCCGCGTATTTACAGATGGTCACAATGCTATGCTTTATGGGAAGTATATTTTACCACAATAAGGAAAACCAGTCCTGTACTGATACTCATACAACTCCTCAGGATGGACACACATGCCCAAATTTCGAGAGAAACATTCTAAAATCAGAAAAAAGACAAGGGTGTATGTTTTCCTTTTTCCTATAATTCTCTTCTCACTGAAAACAAGTGAGGTTATAAATATACTTAATGTTGGTGTAACATGGCAATTCCCCTCCATCGCTGTCATTTTAAAGTGGTGCTAATTTATTTGCAGTCCCTTAGAATTAGTTTGTTACAGTCCATATACAACTAATTTTTTTAAAAAATAACAAAACACCTAATATCTCCTCCTGTAAAATCTTCTGTTTTGATGCCTTTCTCAAAATAGCAACTATTTAAAGGTCTTCTTTACTTTTTCCTTTCATGGCATTAGAATGTCCTGTTTTCACAAGTTAACCTTGCCCCTCTGTTTAAAGAATTCTCGCCCCACCCTGCCCTGTCCCTACACAGTTAAGGGTACACAGAACGGGTTGATCCGTCACAGAGATACAGGCTGCCGGTCCCCGTGAAAGAGTTCTCCCTTTCAGTCTCGGACTGACGTGGAAATAATTACACTGGGTAAGGAGATGAAAGATGAGTGGAAATACACAAAAGCCAGGCAAGTACCTGGACGGCCGCACTGGAGCCAGAAGTCCAGAGTGGCAATTCTAGGAGTATCAGTCACAGCCTGCCACAGGCTCTCATTGTGTGTGGTTGTGAAGCGAAGGGTCGAGTTCATTTTTCTAGGTCACATCAAGGGGATAACTTCCAACAGTGTCCATTAAATGATGGGGTTGTGCAAGGCCACAGACACTTCCAAGCAGAACAGGACAGTAGAGGTTAATTAAGAACTCTCATTTTGTTTATGTGGTCTCAAGGTAATGCAAGGCCCCTTGGTCTAAGCTCACTACTCTCCAACCAGAAGACAAAATGACGGCAGGTGTAATACAATGCATGGACACCTGGCTTCCGTAGTGCATACAGGTGATTACCCCCATTGAAAAGTCTGAATATTATTTTCGTACACCACAGCGTTTAACATACCTCTTTTTGGTTGTAATTTTATTTATTTTTTAGAGAGAGAAGGGAAGGAGAAAGAGAGAACCATCAATGTGCAAGAGAAACATCTACAGACTGCCTCTCCCGGCCTGTAACTCGGGCATGTGGCCTGACCGGGAATCAAACCAACAACATCTTGGTTCACAAGCAGGCACTCAAACCACTGAGCCACACTGGCCAGGAAAACATACCTCTTTTTTAATTTATAGTAGAAACTATATGAAAAAAGTGAGAAAACGCCAGCCTCAAACATGTTAAGGAAGCCATTTCTCAGGAGGGATTTGTAACTTAAAAGTTATTTTGTATTTATTGAAATTCACAACAGATTTAGTAAAGTACCTCCAAAATGAAGATTATCAGAATAAACTAGAAAAGTATTTCCAAAATAAAGATAACCAAAACTTAGTTCACCTGAGTATTGTCTATCATTGCTGTAACACATTACCACGAACTTAGCGACTTAACACGAATTTGTTCTCTCACAGTCCTGGGGGTCCGAGGTCTCACCCAGGTCTCCCTGGGCTGGACTCACAGCGTTGGTAGGGCCGTGTTCCCTCCTGGCGGCTCCAGGAGAGAATCCATTCCCTTGCCTTTTCCCGCTTCCAGAGGCCACTCCCATTCCTTGGCTGTGGCTCCTTCCTCCCTGGTCAACGTCAGCACGTTGCGTCCCTCTGTACTGTCCTTCCAGATTTCCCATTTCCCTCTGACTATGACACGCTTCCAATCCCCCTTCCTCGTTCACGGACCCTTGTGATTACATTGCATTCACCTGAAAAACCCAGAACAATCTCCCTAAAACAAGGTGAACAGATTAGTACCTTAATTCTACCTGCAACTTGATTCTCCTTTGCCATTTAACCAACAACATATTCACAGGTTCTGTGGATTAGGATGTAACATATTTCTGAGCGGGGAGGGGGGGGGGCAGGCATGACTCTACCTCCCACACATTAAATACATGTGTCAATACACCACAGGTTAATTTTTTTGTGACAGTTCAATAGTTGTCATTCATTTGCCTCAAACTACAGAATTTATCTGTTTCATCTATAGAAAATGTATTAAGCTGGCCAGATGTAATAACAAAAAATGTAAAGAGATATAAAACAAACTGTACATTACAAAGTAGTGGTTATCTGTGTATGTGTTTATATGTGTATATATAAAACTATACATGTATACATTGGGGCATGAGTATATATGTGTACATACACTGCCCTGCCCCCCATAATTTTATAGTTAATCAAGTGGTTTTAGAAAAGTCAAGATACCATAAAGATTCCTGGGAAGGTCATGCTTATAAAATAAGACTATGTTTATGAGGATCCAAAATCAACCAAAGGCAAGATTCTTAATGAAGAATATAAAAGCTAGACACAAATTCATTCTTTCTAGGTTAGTCTTTTTTCCTACTTGTCTTCTCCATGTTTTCCTGTTGTTTTCGTCCAAATTAAATGTTCTCATGCTCTTAAAAGCCCCCAGGTGTGGAGGGACCCCAGCTCTTATGAACAAGGTCAAACCGCGCACCCACAAATGTATTAGTGCAACTGCTCTGGAGGAAACCACTGAGAAACAAAGAAAGGCCGTGTGTGTGCCGCTGCGTCCAGTGTACCTGGCATTCTGGAGAAGGTCCTACTTCCTTCAGTGGCTACACCACCAGCTTTGGTTTTCCCGGAACACTGCACTTGCCAGCATGACCACTGTCACTGGCGGGTATCTGGTCCACGCCAGACTTAAAAGACGGGAATGTGGTAATGGCGGTCATTCTCGGTCAGCAGGGAGATCTCAGGCCACTCCCTGAGTGGCTCCTCTGGGTAGCAGACTTCAAAGTCCCTGGAGTTAAACTTGAACAGTCTGAACACTTTTATCTTGACTTCAAGTGCATACCCAAGTATAAACATATCAATCTGGGAAAGAGATGAAAGAGAGGTCACAATACACATTTCAAACTCCTGCCCTCCCACCAGTGGGGGGAGCATGTTCTTCGTCGTCAGCTTGTGAAATAATGTACTTCTCTGCAGACCCGCGCATGACCCACAGAGTGGCCATGGGCCAAGAACAAGTGTGCACTACATGGAAGGCAGGGGACCAGCGGAGGAACATCTCTCAAGACTAGTCCAAAGAAATCACAGGGAAAGCTATGTGGACAAAAACTAATAAAAAAATTAAGGAATGCTTATAATAAAAAGTACACTGTTTTCCCTTCTGGCTGGTGTGGCTCGGCTGGTTGGAGTGTAATCGAGTAAACCGAAATGTCACGGGTTTGAGTCCAGGTCAGGGCGCATGCCTAGGTTGTGGGTTCGGTTCCCTGTGGGGCACGATCCATGTCTCTCTCCTTCCCTTCTCCTCTCTCCAAAATCAATGAGCATGTCCTCGGGTGAGGATAAACAAAATGTGTTTAATTTTAAAAACTACACTGTTTTCCAACCAGTTTTATATCATTTTAAATCAATTTGTGTAAAAAGTTAAGATGATTTTGTATACCTCCTAGGAAAGCAAAACAAAACAAAACAAAAACCCTTTGGGGGACATAAAAGCATTTTCTGGGTTTTAAAAAAACTGAAATAATTTCTATTTATCTGCAGTAAGTAACCAAATGCTTTCCCAAACCTTATCTCACTTTCCAAGTGGGATTTCTCCTGGTTAACCTCTGCTGTGGGAGACCCTATTGTCAACTGAGAAGCAGCGTGCAAGGTCAGAAAGACAGCCCAGCAAGGGTGTCCTTCAGCCACAGGGGTGAGACACACGGCAACCAGCTTGGAGCGGTGAGGCTGTTACTCTTCTCTGCTGCATTTCTGGGGCTATAACGTCAACCCACCGCTCTGCGAGCGCAGCCAGTCTCACCACTGCGGAACGCAAAGACCGAGCCCCTGCGTGTTCCAGGATTGCCAAGATAATCCTTGATCAAACACACACGATTCTCCCCACCCCCCACCATACCTGCTCTAGTCCACACGTGTCGCCTACAGAATTTAGGTGATTCATCATGAAGCTCAAAGGATCAGACGATGTTTCCCGGGAAAACAGGAGTCTGAAAAGACTGGGAATGACCTTTTTCGTCTTCATTTGTTCATAAGCTTCAGTGACTTGATAAAGCATGATGAACTTCAAAGCTTCATACAGTTTGTATTCCAAAATGGCATCAGAGAAAAGGATGTTGCACATACTTCCTCTCTTGTGATAGTCTTTAATCCCACTGAATTCAGTCCACTAAAAACACAGACGGAACAGTAAAATTTTGAAGGGTAAGGATGAATACGTATACCCCTGCATAACGTTTAAAGTGCATACAATACTTATAACATAAAACAAAGGTTAATAGAGGAAAATAGAACTTTCACTTTTCATTTTATATCTTTTGACATGGACTTTTTAAAACATAAGCATACATTACTTTTACAATAACAAACTAGCTTCAATAAAATGTTTTTTCACAAAAGTACCACCCTCCAGGGAAACCACTAAGCAAGTCGGTTTTCTTCCACTGCCAATGACGGCTGCGCTGCACAAAGGTCGCTACGGCGCCCAGCAGTGCTGGCCCGCCCTCTGGAACGCCTGCTGAGTGCCAGGCACAGTGTAGGGCACACTGTGTGTGTATTAACTCACTGAATCCTCACAGGAACCATGCAGGGTCGATACTATGTACAGTTCCGTTTTACAGATGAGAAAACTATGGCCCAGAAAGGTTATGGTGCTTCCCAAGGAGGATTCATTCCAACAATCCAAAATCTGTTTTTACTAAAAGACCGGAAAATCTCTGCTGAGTCAAATTATAACATCTCTGCTGTTGCCAAGTTACTAACAGGGCACATTCCAGAAGAGCATTTCTGAGTGCCTTGTCTGGAACTTGCACCCCATTTCTCTGGGGAAACAAAGGTACGTGCTTGTTAAGGTTTCTGGGCCAGCCCTGCAAAGGGCCTCTTAGTCCGCGAAGGACCGAACTATCGGATTGTGTAGAACAACACTGCTCTCATTCATCGCTTGAAGGAGTATGAAGATCAAGGGGAAGGAATCTCAGGCACTTGAAGCAGTGTTTCTGCCTGCACTCCCTACGCAGCTAACATAGAGTGATGTGCCTGACACGGGAGAAAAGTGGTGAAGTGTGGGACGGGTGCTTTCGTTCCCAGCCTTTCACCCCAGCTGCCAAACTCTCACCTGTGTCTTCAATAATTCCACACATTTACGCAATTTTCCAAACACATTGGAACCTGTATACTTCTCAGGACCAAAACTGTATTGCTGGATCCAATTACAACCTTGTGAAAAGAGCAGTTTCTCAGGAAGCTTGAAAAAGAAGATGCCAACAGTGATTAGTGTCTCAACATTTATTATGCACAATTTGGAATGTGTCAAAGCACATAATCTCACCTCATTTAGCAATCTTCATTTATTTTTAAATTTTTAAAAAATTTTTTAATTTACTTATTTTTAGACAGCAGGGAAAGGAGGGAGAAAGAAAAGAGAGAGAAACATCAATGGGTGGTTGCCTCTCGCATGGCCCCCACCAGGGACCTGGCTTGAAACCCAGGCACGTGCCCTGACTGGGAATCGAACCAACGACCCTTTGGTTCAAAGGCTGGCAGCACTCAATCTACTGAGCCACACCAACCAGGGCCAATCTTCATTTAAAAAGACTATAACCTCAGTAAAGGAAAAATATATAGTCATTTTCTTTTAGACTTCTGGATTCTGTGATTTGGATCATACTCTTAATTCATAATTTCATAACTGGTAAAAACTTAAATATAAGATTAAGTCCATAGAAACAACCTTTTGGGATATAACATTTCCCAAACTACCTAGATATAGGTACTACTTAGATATAATAATTTCTACCCTTTAGAAATTATCTTTAACCAGACAATGTGAAAGCAACACAGCACATCCGGGAACAGGCGGGTTTGGGGATGGTGCTTGTTAGGGCTCAAACCCAGCTGTGTAAATCACCTGCTGGGAAGTTACTCAACCAGCAGGTCATTTCATGGCTCAGCTGCATCCTCCACTATAAATCAAGGACAGTTTTATAGGACTCGGGTTGGGGTTGAATAAGATCACAGCGTACGTAAGAATCTGATCCACCATAGGCATCCAATGCATTTCCCACCAGATTCACCATGTGCAACCCAGGCTCCCAGGGGCAGTCTCTGTCCTCAGCCATGAGCAGCTGGGCTGGCACACTGAATACACCTGACAAGCATTTGTGAGATAAAATAAAACTAATAAAAACATCTCTAGATTAAAAATGATAAGGAAATAGAACATGAGAGCTATCTATATAAGCATACACTTCATATTTCTTTGCTCCTCCAACTTAAATGTACATCCTACATTAGGATACTGCATTCAAAATAAAAATTCAGGTTAGCACCAAGAATGTATTGGTTTACACTGTTAAGAAAATGAAAAACAAGGAAAGGACTGGAAGAAAATATCTGTAAATCACATATATGATAAAGCACTTGCATTCAAGATATATAAAGAATTCTCCAAACTCAATCAATAACAAAAACAAGACAATAAAAATATGGGCAAAAGATTTGAACAGACACTTCTCCAAAAAGAACATAAGGATAGCAAATAAGCAGAGGAAAAGATGCTCAACATCGTAACTCACCAGGGGAATGCAAACTAAAAGCACAATGATACTAATGCACACCTATCAGAATGGCAGAAACAAAAACAAAGGTGAAAATAAATGAACAAAAAACCTGACAATCCCAGGGTGCTGGTGAGAATGTGGAGCAACTGGAACCCTGACACATTTGTGGTGCGAATGCATCGTGGTACAGACATTTGGAAAATGGTTTGGCAGTTTCTTATAAAGTAAGCATACACCTGCCATAAGACCCAGTGATCCCACCAGAAAGGAATGAAAACTTATGTGCACACAAAATCCTGTATGGGAACATTTATAACAGCTTCATTCATAGTATTAACTGTCACATTGCTGTCAAGCAACACCACTCAACAATAAAAAGGAATGAACAACATATTCACGGACCACCTGGGTGAACTGCAAATTCATTATGCTAAGTGAAAGACCTCACTTCAAAAGGCTGCACTCGGGATGGTTCCATTTAGATAGCATTCTGGAAAAGGCAACAGCACAGGGACACATGACCCATCAGTGGTTGCAGGAGACGGGAGTGAGAGGAGGACTGACTGTGGTGGAAAATGAGGGGGTATGTGGGGTGGTAGGCACACATCGCGTTTGTCAAAACTCAGATAACTACAGAGTACAAAAGTGAGTTTCAGTAGACTGCCTTCCCTGGAACTGGCAGAGAGCATTAAAGATGATGCCAGGAAAAGACGATGGCATTAACACGCATTAACACGATGGGTCTGACCATCTTTCTGGGACGGTCTGTGGACAAACTGACATGGGAGTCAGAGGGCCTGGTCAGCAGTCCTCTCCGAGTTCAGCCTCGGGACCCCTGCGTACAGAGCTGCCCACGGCAAACCCAGAGCGGCAGGGTTACTGTTGTCACCAAGGGGACTCTCAAGTGTTTCTGGTGGGGGGACATACCTTAACGATGTCTTTCTCCTTCATCCAGGATGGAAAAGAAAGGCCCTGGCTGAATATCTGGAACAACACAGATCTCAGTGCATCATAGTTGTCTCTCTTCACTTGTCGGACACATTTAATGTGACACCGCCAGAACAGCTCCTCGTAAGCCTATTTAGCACAAAAACAGAAAGCTGCTCTTTAATTCTATTGGATAAGAAATAGGGAAAGTGATTTCAATGTACTATCTAATGAGGTGTGCTTCTACATAAAGCAGACAACAGAAATAAAACAATTCTAAATTATGAATTGGACCACATGTCATTTCATGTCATCGTGTGTGTGGAGAGACGAGGGTCCCGTGCTACCCTACACGGTAAGTTCCTGGAGCTCAGCCCAGGGAATGTCACTGTGGGGAGATCACGGGTACGGCTCGGTCACAGTGGGAAATACTGTGCACTTCAAAACCATGCTAAGGACTATTTTAAATGTAATATACCCCCCTTTTTTTTTTCCTTTGCTAGTGACAAGTTTGGGCAGCACTGCTGGGAATATTTCCCAAGACTGATCCAATGGAAAACTCTAAAAATCCTCAAAATATTTTTATCAAGGGGCCAAATCCCTTCAAGGACAGAAGTCACCCACACAGTCACAGAGGTTTGGTCGGCCTGGCCAGCAGAGAGCCGAAAGGAGCTGATTCCCGTTTTCTGAACTCACAGACTGAACTTCACCCCAGTCGTCGTAGGCACTGGCTCTGGGCAAAAGGCCCAAAGCCAATGTCTAGCAGCTGTTTGGCTTTTAAATTAGCGCCACAGTTGTCCCTTATGTCACATTCAGTTTCAGTTAGTCTCTGGGTCCATAAAACAGAGTGGAATGTTTGTTTACACACAAATTCTCCATCCTCCATGACCTTTACAAACCTTCCTCATCAGCTTGGCACGGGGTGTCTCCCCTTTCCACTCCCTTGCGCAATAGCTGAGTAAGTCGACTTCCGCCTCCACGCTGAGGTTCCCTGAATCAAAAATAGAGGGTAGTTAATTTTCCCTTTCTTCTTCCTTCCTCTTGAACCCTCTCTGCATCTTAAAAACAAGGACAGATGCACACAAAAATACTTACTTTTGAATTTTCTTTGCAGATATCCACTCCACCTGAAATAAAAAGGAAACAATAACACCAAAAATACTACCTTCACGACAAGAATGTTTTAGATATTCCAAGGATGACGCAGCCACCCACCATTTCAGCCGGTGGCCTAGGTGTAAATTCAGCCGTCGGAAGTAGCAGAGGGTGGCCAGCAGCAGCGAGACTGCCAGCATCACGGAGCCCTTCGCTATTCCCCACACAGTATCTAAGGCTTGGCTGGTGACGAGTGTCCAGGAGTGAACTTGGTCATTTCCTACAAAAATTTAATTGAAAAAAAATCACGTCACAATTACACAAGTCTGCTTTGTTTAAGGGGGAAAAAGATACAATGGATAACTATCTGCAAAGGGTCTATGGTTGATTTATATAAACATATTAAAAGCATTCAAAAATGCCATCTGAAAATTAAAGAAATGCCTCGTTCCAATATAATCAGGGCCACATATAAGAATATCTTTGTCCCCAAAATCCAAGAGGAAGAGTGAACATAAAGAATGTAGGTTTCGCAATCCCTCCAACCTGAACTCAAAGCCTGCTTCTCCTACTCACCTAGCTGTGTGCCTGTTGGGAACCCACTTCTCCTATCCTGACTTGTCTCAGCTGTGAAGTGGGTAAAATCCTGACCTCGCTGAGGAAAGACAGAATGAAATGATTTATGAACCAGCACCATGCCCTGTGCTGAGTATCTGCTGAATCCAGAAACGATGCCGCCCCATCCCCTTCTGCCCACTTTGGTATTTTTTTTTTTTTAAGTATATCCCTTAGTTCACATCCATGGGTTGTACATGTAAGTTCTTTGGCTTCTCCATTTCCCATACTATTCTTAACCTCCCCCTGTCTATTTTGTGGTTACCAATCACACTTTTTTTCTGAAGTTTTTTTTTAAAGATTTTATTTATTTATTTTTAGAGAGGGAAGGGAGAGAGGGAGAGAGAGAGAGACAGAGAAACATCAATGTGTGGTTGGTGGGGGCCGTGGCCTGCAACCCAGGCATGTGCCCTGACAGGGAATTGAACCTGCGACACTTTGGTCCGCAGCCCACGCTGAATCCACTGAGCTACACCTGCCAGGGCCCAATTATGCTTCTTATTCCCTGTACCTTTTCCCCCATTCTCCCCCTTCCACCTCCCCACTGATAACCCTCCATGTGATCTTCATCTCTGTGATTCTGTTCCTGTTCTAGTTGTTTGCTTTCTAGTTGTTTTTTAAGGTTCAGTTGTTGATAATTGTGAGTTTGTTGTCACTTCACTGTTCATAGTTTTGATCTTCTTTTTTGTAGATAAGTCCCTTCAACACTTCATACACGGGCCATAACACATGGCATCACCTTACCACACGGAACCAGCGACTCAAACAGCAGGCACACAGACATCGTTTCCAGCAAGTGGCCCCTTAAAAGAACAGTCATGAGACAGAGATGGATGTGCTGCGGGTGGTGCACGCTCTCATTCCTGATTCGACAGGGGGGAAGTGATCAGGCCTGAAGAACCCAAACTGGGTACTTGCGATATTTTACTAAGGCAGGAGATTCCTAACGGTATTATGTTTGGGCGTGGAACCATGCTGAAGCACAAATGAGGAAGAGGACTTCTGGGGTTCACCGTGAAACAGTGTCCTCCACAGCGCAGGGTTTAGTAAAATCCCCATGACTAATGCAGTAAAAGCCTCATCCATTTGGAATCTACACTTTTAGTATTTTTTTAAAGAGAAAAATACTTTAATGCAGAGCATTTTTTATTATCTTTGATGTGTATTTACACTTTCAGTAAAGAATTTACCAGGAGATAAAGAAATGGAAAAAGTTACTAGCAAATAAAAATGCCTATTTTTTATATCATTACTTAAAAAGACATTTTCAAACACAGGTGTTTATTGTTTAGGATTAGCTATTTATTATAGACTTATTCCCACCTAGCAATTTAGTAATATATTTTATAAATTGTTTAAAAATGTAGAGCCATACTGCCTTTACACCTATGATTTAGACTCTTATTAATTCAGTCTGGTTTCCCAACTTTGAAAATTCTCACATATGCACATATTTTTAGTAAGTCCTTAAAGTCACAGAAGAACTAGAACATGGTCTATGATACATGATTTCTCCTATTGCAGTCACAGACATTTTCTAGAAACATGCAAAATTGCGCAAGACAGTACAGTTTGTTTTCTTCATATTGATGTCATATCAAATTACAAGTTGACCATCTTTTCATATCACTACGTATAGATCCACATTGTTCTCTCTGAAGATTGCTATAGTACTTTGTACTGTAACACTGCAGTACAAAGATAGACCATCACTGCTGTAATCACGGCCTAATTACTAACCATTGCTTGCTTCCACTTTCCACTTACGAACATGGCTGAGACAAGTATTTTCCACCAGCTCATGTGTGTGGCTCATGGTGGCTCTTAGGACAATTTCAGCAAGGGGATACTCTGGGTCTAAGGGTTTGCACATTTTTAGTGTTGACGGATGTTGACACAGTGCCTTCCAAAACAACACTGGACACTCCCCCCTGGGGCGCTGGAGCACCCGTTTCCCTGAATCCCACACCAGTTACGGACTCTCACTGCAGCCTGCAGTTCTGAGCAACATGCTCTCATTTCTTCCTTTGTGAAGGGCCTTCCAGAGCTTCTGTCTGCTTTCCACTGGGTGGGGCTCACCTGTATGGGGACTTGAGGGCCCCAGTCTCTACACTGGGGCCTGGCTGCCACCCTTGGTGGGGCACTGCTCTCACTGGTCACGGACTCCCTCTGACCCGCTGCATTCCTCTAAGTCGACATCTGGCCACTAGGGCATTTGATTTGAGACCCCAAATGAGGGCCTTCTCCGCAGCTGCACAGGGAGGACCCACTGCAGACCATGGCTCTCCCTGCTCTAACACACACACATGCACGCACACATGCACACTTCCCCAGCCTGCTGCCCTTATCCTCAAAATGAAACCCTGCCCACAGCCCGAGAAAGGGTGGTAGTATCAACTTAGCAGGAAAAAAGCGACATGAGGCTCAATACGCCCTTTCCAGGCACACCTAGAACAGAAGCCTGAACTCCCGGATCGCATGGACCTGACACAAGAGCCCCTTCTGGGCAGGTACTCCAACTACAAATCGCAGCCAGTCCCGAGGGGCCCCCAGATGATGTTATCAGGACAGGGCTTCTAAGTCAAAGGAGAGGAAGTACTGTACAATGTTTTAGTAGGAACAGGTATGGCTTCATTGATCATTAAAACAGTTACAGTTGAAGTTTGGCTATGTGCCAGCTCCCGTGCCAAGAGTTTCACAGGGATTATCTCATTTGCTCCGGAGCTCCAGGGTGTGGGTCCCATCCGGCGCTGCACACACGCTGGGTGAGGGCCTTCACCTCCGAGGCCTCTGTTCCCTAACCCAGAGATGGCCCAGTGAGGGCCAAGTGGTGTCCGCCTCTCAGAGCTGTTGTGGGATTGGAGGGTGTAACGGGAAGACAGGTATAAGGCTGTCGGGAGTACTGTAAGCACCCAACAAGTGGTCATAATTATTTTTATTGCTATTACTCTAATCACCCCATTTTTTAAAATGAGAAAACTGTGAGGGACAGGGATGAAACCAGTGGTCAAGCCAGAATTCAGAGACAGGGTGACATGGTGCCAGCAGCTGCACGTCTCGTCTCCGGGCTATCCTGCCTTTGAATTATGTAGCTGAGGAAATCTTTAAATCAGTGTTGCTAGATTAGGTATAGAATAAAGCCTTTAAAAAGAGAATTTTTATTTTTTATTTTTTTTTAGAATTTATTTATTTATTTTTAGAGAGGGAATGGAAGGAGAAAGAGAGAGAGAGAGAGAGAGAGAGAGAGAGAAACATCAATGTGTGGTTGCTGGGGGTCATGGCCTGCAACCTAGGCATGTGCCCTGACTGGGAATCGAACCTGCGATGCCTGGTTCACAGCCCGCACTCAATCCACTGAGCTAAACCAGCCAGGGCTAAAAAGAGAATTTAAAAAAATTTTCCTGCATGTGTCAATAACTGGATGACAACTCAAAAAAAGCAAACAGAGCCCTGGCTGGTGTGGTTCAGTGGATTGAGTGCTGGCCTGTGAACACAAGGGTTGCCGGTTCGATTCCCAGTCAAGGCACGTGCCTGAGTTGTGAGCCAGATCCCGAGTGGGGGTTGCGTGAGAGGCAACCACACATTGATGTTTCTCACCCTCTCCTTCTCCCTCCTTTCTCCTCTCTAAAAATAAATAAATAAAATCTTTAAAAGAAAAAAGACTTAAAAAGAAAGAAAGCACACAGAGAACGCCATAAATTAGGAGCCTAGCAAAACACTATCACGATCACAACTCTGATAATCCTGTGAGTCAAATCTCACTTCCCCAAGCACTACTGAGAGTGAATCAAACTTTCCGTGTCGGAGTCTTCACCAGGGTCCCCCTGCTGCCGGCCTGCCCAGGAGAACTCAGCACTGGTCTGCCCGCCTTCCCCTCCCCCTGCGCTGGGGAAGCCCTGGCCTCACAGGGGGCTGGCCTCATGGGATGCCGACTGGACTGGTCAGAAGGAAAAGAAGGTTCCCCCACGAGGGAGTCAATCATTCAACATAATGAAAAGAGGTACCAGAACAAGGGAAACAAGCAAAAAGAGGGTGGGTGGCAGGAGGTTTTGGACGTGGAGAATCTCCAGAAAGTGAGGGTTACAAGAAGACGCAGTAAACAGAAGCAATTGCCAGGAATTACAAATTTGACCTTCTTTAATGTTCATCAAGTGACAAAAAATGAAATTTCTTTTTTAATACTTTCGGACTGGACCACTGGGGTGGTGGCTGAAGGAGGTTCTATGTAAGCACCGTGCATTTCTATTATTTTAGAAAGTGGATTAACTCGGTCTCACTCATTTCCCCAATCATCACCACCCAAACATTCCCAGAGACCCCAATCCAGACTCCCAGAAGTAACACTTCAGATATCTTTGAATAATTACCCCACAACCTCCTGAAATCAACAGCATGACTATTTGAAACTAAAGTCTGATCTGTGATTCTCTCAGACTATATATGGCAGATGAGACCACTGACTAGAAGCAAAAAAAAATTTAAAAAGCCACTGTTTTTTGTGGTAGAATTCTACTTAGATTTTTTTCCGTTCTCTAAAATGTACCAAAGCTGAAATAATTCAAACATTCAAACAGGAAACCAAAAAGAAAAAAAAACCCAAAAACAAAACTAAAAGACACTGAAGATCCGGAAACCGGGTGAGTACCCGGACAGCAGATCCGCCGG